GTACTATCACTAATAAATGTATCACCTTCAGTTGTTATATGGAAACCATACAACACAGGTGGAACACTAACCCTACTGGAACATCTTAGAGGTAAGGACTCGTCAACTGGTTCAACAGGAGTCTTATCCTTAGGTTGAGCGCTAGTGTTAGAGGTTCCTTCATCGCTTAATTCTTGAAGCTCTGCATGGTCAATTTGCCTCCCACTGTCCTCTTGGCATATGATTTCTCTCCCTCGGAAAACTCCTCTCCTTGCAATGAAGACAACATTGTTACTCAGTCTGTAGAAGAGATATCCAAAAGACTTATATGGATAGCCGATGAAAATACACCGCTCACTACAAGGTTCAATCTTTTCGTGAGTCTCTCTTCTTACGAAAGCCTCTCAACCCAGACCTTGATATGTGCTAACGAGGGAACCTTCCATGTCCACATCTCGTTAGGTGTTTTGGAAACCTTCTTAGTTGGGACTAGATTAAGGATATGGGTGGCAGTCTCTAAGGCATACCCCCAGAATGAGATAGGTAACGAAGCACGACTCATCATGGAATGAACCATGTCCAACAAGGTTCGATTGCGCCTCTCAGCTACACCATTAAGTTGTGGTGTCCTAGGCGGCGTCAATTGTGAAACAATTCCACATTCCTTAAGATACTCGTGGAAGTCGATACTAAGATACTCACCACCTCTATCGGATCTAAGTATCTTTATCTTCCTGCCCAATTGATTCTCTACTTCTTGTTTAAACTCTTTGAACTTTTCAAAGGTTTCTGACTTATGCTTGATTAAGTAGATATACTCATATCTGCTATAGTCATGAGTAAAAGTCACGTAGAAGCGATTCACATCCCTTGTGGTGGATCTGAAGGGCCCAGATACATTAGTATGTATGAGATCCAACAAACCCTCACCTCTTTCACAAGAACCAGTGAAGGGTGACTATGTCATCTTTCCAAGCAAACAAGACTCGCACGTGTCATCCGACCTAAGGTCAAATGACTCCAACACTCCATCTTTTTGGAGTTGGGCTATGCGCTTCTTGTTGACATGTCCAAGACGACGATGCCACAAGCATGTTTTGTCTAAACTATTAGACGAATCAATATGCAATACATTATTTCCTAAGTTGTATACAACCATCAGAGTTTCATATATACCATTACAAGACAATGCTTCAAAATAAAACTTATCATTATAGAAAGCATTTATAGAACCAATTTCATTATTAAATGAAAATCTAAAACCTTGTTTATACAAACCATGAAATTAAATAATATTCCTCGTCATTTCTGACGAGTAGTAACAATTATTCAACTCTAAACCTAACCCACTACTAAGCATTAAAGAATAAACTCCAATCTTGGTGACAGGCGACGCTTTCCTATTCCCCATGATCAAGTTCATCTTCCCATGCTCCACATCCCTACTTCTTCTTAGACCCTGTAAATCAGAACAAATGTGAAAACCACATCCTGTATCAAGGACCCAAGAACTAATATGTGATGAGTTGTTAGATTGAATAGTGTAAATACCTGCGAAGGTGGGCTTTATCTTCCCATCCTTGATGTCATGCAAGTATTTAGGGCAACTTCATTTCTTATGCCCTTTATCGTGACAGTAGAAGCACTCTGCATCCTTTGGATTAGAAGAAGGAGTAGCAGAACCACCTTTGGTCCCACTAGAAGAGGATCCATCATGGGACTTTCCCTTGTGGCTCTTAGAAGGAGCCTTCCTATTCTTTCCTTTCCATTGTCCAATTGCCAAGACAGGGGCAGCAGCAGTAGGATTGGGCACACAGATTTTCCTTTTAAACTGCTTTCAGCAGTTCTCAGTAGGCCTTGAAGCTTGCTTAGAGTGACTTCCTCCTTGTTCATATGATAATTCATTCTAAACTGATCATAACAAGGAGGAAAAGAGTGTAGGATAATTGTGACATCCTGAAATTTAGGGTTGAATCTGCAAACAGTCAGTTCATCGCGAACCTTCTTATACCTTGACCGATTGAATTTTAATGCATATTTTAGTGGAAATATAACGTCATGAGATATGAAATGATATCTTACCCCCAATTATGGAAAATGTCGAACGAATTTCAAAGCACAAACTGTAACGCTAGTTTTTTTTTTTTGAAAGAGCCAAAGCTCAGCAAACTTTATTAAAAAAGAATAAAAGAATACAAATTAAACAGACCAAAAACCGACACCTACAAAAACTGTAACGCTAGTTAACGATTGAAAAATTATTTGTATTTAGCGTATGTGAACAAAGAAAATATTCTAGACTCGTAGTATATGCTTCCCTGATCGCGGATATATAAAGAACGTCCAAAACAGAGTTCGTATGCAAAAGATATGACTGTGTTAAGAAACCAAACCGATATAACACTGACGTTATCTGATATCATAAACAGTATTGATCCGTAGAGGCACTTGCACACGTTAGATGGAAATTCTGAGAGCGTTTTTGGACTCAAACTACGCTCTAATATTTTATTTACCATTCGAAATAATTTTAGTAAAAATATTTGTAAAATTCAGAAAAATCAAAGGTTTCGACCAATTAAACGTGAAAATTTAAACGCAAATCCCCAGAGTTCTACAACTCGAAAAATTTATCCATTCGGGTTTTTATAATCTTTGAATTAAAATCTATCATTCCACACTATCGTAAAAATTTCCCGCCATCATGCAAAACAAAAATCGTTTATAAGGCAAATTAATAGCATAGTGAAATATTACAATTTTTTTTGGTAAAGTAATAATAATAACTAGAAAGTTTCCCCCCGCGTTGCGGGGGGTGGAAGGTGTTGTTTTTATCCCATGCAGCTATCAATTTCTCCAACACTAAAACTTCAGACATTACTGAATTCTCCACTTATATGATTCATTCCGCGCAAAAATATATAGATCAGTGATCCATTCCGCGTAGACATATCAGAAAACCACAAAGGCAGCCACCACTACGAGGGCAAAAAAGTCAACACAGGAGCATCTTTGATCCATCCAAATAGAAACAACCACAAAGATACCTCAAAGACCACGATAAACCAAAATAATACACTTGCACACCAATATCAGATTTTCAAAGTCATAATTTTAATATCAGAATTTCATATACATCAGAATTTTAAATACATCATATTTTCCTATTATAGATTTTAAAAACCATAATTTTAATATCAGAATTTCAAAATCTGATTATATAGAATTATAGAAAACAAAATCTTATATTAGATTTTCAAAATCAGAAATCATGGAGGTGCCATTATTTAAATTAGCAAGGACCGCAAAGAACACATAAAAAATTGTTTTATGTAAATGTTTATTGCTCTTTTTTCAATTCTCCAAGAAATGAAAGTAGGTTGCTATAAGAGGACGCCTTTATATATCATTGTATATTGAAAAATCTGGCCAATTATAACAATCTGATCCAAGTATGAAGTAAGTTCATTTTTATAGTTGATAAATTTAATAAAGCAATTAAAAAAAATAAATAAATAAAATAAAATAGAAACTGAAAGTATGATGCTATAAATGAAAAATCTTACTAGTCCACCTCTATTAGAGAAGTCCTCATATACCTCTTCTCTTTTTTTTCCATGCTTTTCTCTTTGGATTACCTATGCATTGAAAAAACTGGCCATGTAATATGATTAATACATGTTAGAATTTTTATATGCGTCTGAAATAGCACCAAGTAGCAAAAAATAGCAATCTAGATTGATACGTTATGTCGAGCTTTGGTTTTTAAAAAATATAGCAAATTATAACAATGTACTTTCATTTTTTTCCCTTAGAAAGTAGGTATAAATGGGGCCCAGTTGTAGAGGGGTGGCGGATGGGTGGGAATGGGTGGTTGCGTTAACAGGATTACGGCGACAGATGGTGGCGGTGACATGTTGGCTCGGGTTGATGTGAATAGTTAGGAAAGGTAAAAACTGGATTGATAGCCGAGTGAGTTGAATGTGTGACGCATTCTAAGCATGAAATTGAGGTCTTCTCGTATCTGAAAAACACAAGAAAAAAAAACGATCAATGGTTCAAGTCTCAGCAACAACATCAACATCAACAACTGAACAATAATTGGTACCAAAGTTTCATGCGGAGCTCTACTGACAGCCATCTAACGGACTACTGTACCCCAGTGGTAGATCATTATGTGCTGACTCATGGATTGTTGGAAAAATACCTTTTTTTTCCTTTTTTTTACAAAAAATAATTATGTTTGATACGATTCTCAACAATGGTGATTACTTATTACATTATTACATAAAGATCCAAAGGTAAAAAAACGTCAACATAGTACTATGTTAGCAAGGTAAAATGTATCAAAGATCATGTATTACCATTTTTAGCACGCCCAAGAAAATCCTGATCCGGTCCGACCCATTTGTGTATGTAAAAAGGGAAATAGATTTAAACTTACAGTCTTGCATGAACCAAGTTACAAAAGCCCATGGCCAGCTTGAATGACACTAATAGTCTATAAAAGTCTAAATCAAGATATTTATTACGACGTAAAAAATCTAAAACTAAATGGTAGATTGTTTTTTCCTCCATTTTATAATTTATTTTAATAATCAGTTAATCTTACAGCTATCAGCTGCTACTTATTTAATTTTTTAAACCAGATTATTTTGAAGCAAAATAATAGGAAATATGATGATATTCTCTTTTTTTTACAAATGTTCAAATTTATTCACTTTAAAACACATAAACTCGTATGAAAACCCAAAAAAAAATCATCAAAAATCACATGAATTCCTGAATCAAATTGTTTGATCCATTCAGTAGGAATCTGCAAAAATAAAAAGGGAAAATTCATAAAACTCAAGAGTTCATTACCTTACAAACTCAATAACAATGAATAATGATGAAAAAAAGTGTGTGTTCTTGAGAAGCATACATCATCGAAACAGTTTTGCCAATAATTAAAAATATTATATTCAGATTCCAAAGGCTCTTTGAACACCCATTTATGACATTTATCAGAAGCAACTTCCCCCATTAATTTGCATCTTAAGATGATCAAACAAAATCTGAAAACCCTAAATGAAATCTCCATTATTGCATCTTGTTGCTTTTTAAGCTTACATATTAAAATCATTGAAGAAATCACAATATTGTCGTATGTGAATGCAATCAATGCTAAAATAACAAAAAATTATATGATCATCATGTCAAAATCTATCAATAGAAGCTACAGTTACATTACCTACTCGGACTCCACACTCACATTTTGTAACAGAAAATAGTAGATGCTCCAGCATATGAAGAGGGAACCAATGCTTATTAATGACTTATTAATGACAGACATGATAGCACCACACATGTTCAAAAGGTTTGTTTCCACCTGCTTACTTCATCATACAAAACATGCTCTGTCAGAGCCCCTACCCATGGACAAACCATAAAACATGACTTTGTTGCATAAACCGGAAGAAAAAAAAGTAAGATGTTCCGTCAATACGCATATAACCCTGCATATCCATAAACATGCCCTAAAGATCATATACTTTCTCTTTCTTCGCTTCAACAACCACCTGTAAAAAATGGTTGATTATTATTGTCAAAACTCACAAAAAACAACTGAAATAGATGTCTTTAATAATAAAAACTAAGCAGATAAATTGTTGATGTTGAAAGCCCTTAAGTGTAAAGAACGCAGAAAACACTAAAAGCATAGATTCAACCTATGTGTTAATATAGTAGGAACCAAACCAACAAAATATTGGTCTCCAATTGAGAATTAAGCAGCAAAAGAACAAAAAGAAAAGAACCGATTTTCTTTGGTCTCCCTTTTTTGTTGGCCAGTAGTCTGAGAAGGAATAAGATAAAGAATTACACCAGGTACCTTCCTTTTCAAATCATGTGTGTTAATCTCTTCTGCAAATGGGTACTCTGCAGCTCCCTTTCTTCGCTCTGCTACATTTTTTACAGCGAAAACAACAAATTAAGATTCGATGTGGAAACAAAGTTGAATATACAGAACCCAAATTGGATGGAACATTACCGTAAGCAAACAGCGGTTTGTCTTCGACTCTTCAGATGGCATACTCAACTCCAAAACCAAAACCGGAAAAGAAATTAGGGGTGAGATAGTTATCTGAAAGAGATTGAACCCTAATCAGAATCAAAATCAAAATCAGAAGAAAACCTAAATTAAAGTTTCGATTTCGGAAAGTGGGATTGTTCATACCTGGGTCCAAGAGTAGCAAACATAATTGCTCATGGGTATCGCAGGCGTAATCCGTTTTCTTTGTACCTGAAATAGCCTATACCCAAAAGCGTGGACGCCGGCGGACGAAGACGTTACAGAATAGCTATTAGAAGAGAGATGAAAGGGGTGTTTCAAATGCGTACCTATGTTAAGGCGGTGGAATATCTGTTGCGTTAAAATCAGAACAATCGAGAAGCGGAAGATATTGAATGAGAGATTTGGTACATCTCCTGAAGGTAGTGACGACGGGATGACGATGGTTGAAGCTGGCGGAGATCGACGATGCAAGCAGACGGTGGTGATGGCGGTTCTCAATCGGTTCTAAAGAGAAGCCCTCACAAAGGAAAGACAGTGGAAGGATCGGGAAATAGAGAGGCGGTGGGAAGGATCGAGAAGCGGAAACCATGGTATAAAGAGAGTAACCGGAGGAACAGTGCACAATCCCACTTTCACAAGTTTACTATTCATTTTCGAGAACTTTAATATATATATATATATATATATATATATATATATATATATATATATATATATATAATAATAAGAAAAACAAAAACAAAAAAATATAAATATAACTAAATGACAAGCCCTCTCTCTTACGTCTCTCTCCCCATATCTCTCTCTCCCTCCCTCTCTCTTTCTTCTAGTTTGGAATTTAGTTGAAAGTCAAAAGCAAACTCACCACTCAAATGAAGAAACCCTAAAACTTCTTTCCCTCCCGATCAAAGTAATATACACGAAAATATATGGACTTTGTTTCTACACAATCCTCATCTTTCTTGGACTGATGCACCATTAACACCACATCTTCTCCACCCTTAACCATCACACATCACCAACTTTTAACTTCCATTGCCACCACCGGTGTTCTTGAACCACCGTGAAACACCACCATTGGCCACCCGTTGTCAACCAACAGCCCCTAATCCCCTCTTCTGTCCAGATAATCAATCACCACCATAGTAAACACCACCCACCACCTCTATCCCTACTTTTTTATCTTCTGTTGATTGGAGAAACGCCCCTGAATCCATCGGTTTGCTTCTCTCTCACTCATTCTCACAAAAACAGGAGGAGAAACGGAGGCAGCAGGAGGCTGCCACCGCAATCAACCAACTGCCATCACGTATCCGTTACTATGAAGCACCGTCGTCGTCAGCTCCTGCTTCCTTTTTGACCCCTTTTCGAACTCGTCGGAGCAGCAAGAAAACGAAGTAGTTGGAGCTACCGTCGACTGCCACCCATCCCACTTGCTGCCACCGCTCACCTGCTGCTGCTGATAAGTTCTGGCCTCCCATATCTCTCCAAATCATCGTTCCCGTCAAACGGAAGCTAAACCAGGCGGGAAGAGGCTGCCGGAGCTCCGCCACTTACCTACATCCCTGCTCACTGCCACCGTCGCCATTCTCCGACGCCATCTCCGTCGGATTGCATCCGGTAAGTCATCTCCATGCTCGCCATTTCGCTCCGATGACCCATTGTCGAGTATACAGCCGAGGGCCTTTGCCCATATGAAATAAACAAGTGAAGTTTGAGTGTTTAAGACTTGAGTTGATCTCAAAGTTCTTCCTCTGTTGAAATAGTCGTTCTATTTCTGAATAGCAGAGCCCTATCCAAACATATTCATATAATCATTCATATAATCTAAACAATCCATCGTCAATCTATCCCGACGCATCATTCAGGTATAATCCTATCATAATCTTTTTATTAATTCCGTCATGTCTGTAAAATTGGTATCAGAGCTACGCACTTACTTTTTCAAATTGGTATCAGAGCTAAGTAACGTTCTTAATATTATTTTGCATATTCAATCTTTCGTTCATAAGAATACATGCATATGCAGCATCATAAACATGATAATGAATATTCATCATTTTACATAATTACTCATATTCAAAAGTCATCGCTATTAAAAATCAATTCACCAACAATTGAAATAATTGTCGTAAAAAGGTTTTAATATCATAAATATGTCTCAAGAAATAGAAAATTCACCAATCATTATTAATAACGAAGAAAATGAATCTGAATATATTTTTGATGCTTTAATTAACAAAAATAACATTAATAAAGATGCTATAAAAAAATCAAATTTTACACTATCAGAAAAACATAATTTTAAAAATAACTCATTAAAAAATTTCTTTTCTAGAAAAAATATTATATATTATGGAAAAATTATAGGAGAAGAAGCAATACCTATAAAATCAACTCAAAGAAATATTATTATACCCATAATAAATAAACAACAAATTAGAAATAGATTATCTAATATTAAAGAAGTAGATAGAATAAAAATTGTTTATATTCATGTATCAACTATTCGAGTAATTTTAAAAAGTACTTTTAGCGATTTAGATACACCAATAGAATTAGAAATCAGAGATGATCGTATAATTAATAATCAAGAAAGTATAATTGCAAAAGGAAAAAGGTAATTTAATTGAAGGAAAAATAAAATTTGATATTAATATTAAACTAGGATTAAGTCTTAAAGATAAAAATCTAAGTAATAGTATTACTGTACGATATAAATTACTAAGACAAAATTTTATGATAAAAGGTAATCATCCGTTTACTATTACATATCAAATAAATTATGCATTAACAAATTCTCATCATAGTATTACGTTTAAAACAGAAGATAGAATTTATATAGATAAACTATTTACTCCTTTATTATCACTTGAATCACCAAATATGACTAATAATAGAATATTCAATGAAACAAATTTTCAACCAATAATAACTACTCCGTTAATAAAAAGAAATCCAAATATAGAACCTCCATTTTCAACTATAATGGGTAGATCTTCCATCTCGGAATGTCAACCTACAACATCTAATGAAAATAACGATGAAAAATTAAAAGATATTAAAGAAATGATAAGATTATTAAGTTTAAGAATATGACAGAATCATCTAGTAATTCCTTAAAATATTTTAAAATACTTGAATGATCATATCAAAATACAAAACCATGTATACCAGATAAAGAAATGATTATAGAAATGCCGCAAAATTTACCACAAGGAACAATATATAATATTGGTCTTAATTCTGAAGAAGATAAATCAATAGGAGATAAATTAAATATAATTAGTCAAAAATTAAATAATATTATAGAAGTAGAAAGTTTACTTGTATTAAAACAAATTCCTGAACTATTACAAAGTTTAACTCAATAGAAAATATTACTTGAAAAATATTTAAAAATAAAAACTATTAAAGAAGAACCACTTAATGAAAAACCACTACTTAAAGAAAAGCACTTACTATTAAACGACAATTCACATGGTAAAATAAAAATTATGAGTAATAAAACCCAAGTATATTGTATTTACGATAATAAATATAAAGTTAATTTACTTAAAAAATTATGGAAAGATCTACAAAATTCCACAAAAACATTTAAAAGAAAAAAAAATCTGAAGTACAAAAACTAATTTCTAAAAGCAAAAATTATGCTGCATATCAATTAGTTAAAACTGGAAGATTAAAAATTGAAATTAATCATTTGAAAATAGTAATAAAAAATATTAAAAATTTCAATTAATTTTCTTTCAGACTCTTTAACAATTTGCTAAAATGAATTCAAAAGTACAAATTAATTCTTCAAAAGATAACATGCTTTGGACTAATATATTAAAAAATCATTGGAAAATAAATTCTAATATCTCTAATACCATTCAACATTTAGAAAATGCTTTATTATATGAAGAAAACTATTTGTTAAGATTACAACCAAAGAAGGAAGAATATAATAAACAACTAAAAAAGATATCTCGATTAAAAGAAGGAATTAAGAAATATAAAAAATCACAAAATCGTAATTTAGAAACAATACACAATGTTTCAACTATACTAACAAACACAACTTGTTAATATGAAAACTTTGCAAGAAAAAATAAAAACACATATATAAAAATTTATAAACTAACTCTAATGAGTAGAAGAAAAACAAATATTAACTCAAACAGTACTTTTATTACAACTAAAATACAAGATAAAGAACTAGTTTCATATATAGATACAGGAGCTACTTTATGTTTTGGAAGAAGAAAGATATTAAAAAATTGGGAAAAATTAGAAAAACCATTAGAAATTACAATTGCTGATAAATCAATTCACAAAATTTGGTTCGTAGGAAGAGACATAGATATAGTAATTGAAAAAGCGCCATTTAAAACTCCAACTATATATCAACATGATTCAGGAATAGATTTAGTAATAGGAAATAATTTCATTAAATTATATCAACCATTTATACAAACAAATGATCATATAAGTCTCAATCATCCGACAAAAGGTATTATAAAAACTGCAATTACCAAACATTATGATCTTATTAAAATAATCAAACAAGAGGTTGGTTTTCAACTACGCATATTACTAACATTTGCTGAAGAAATTGCTGAAAAACAACTTGAAGAAGTATGTAGCGAAAACCCGCTAGATCATTTAAAAAAATAAAAATAATCAAGAAATAATAATATTATTAAAAAACCCTAATGATGAAGTTAATGTTCCAAATAAAATTCCATATAGTATAAAAGATGTTTCTGAATTCAAACAGGAATGCACTGAACTATTAGAAAAAATGAATCATCCGACCTAGCACGAGTCCTCATTCTGCACCTGCATTCTATGTAGAAAATAATAATAAAATAAAACGAGGTAAACGAAGAATGGTAATTAATTATAAAAAGATGAATGATGCTACTATAGGAGACTCATATAAATTACCACAAAAAGAATATATTTTAGAAAAAAATAAAAGGGAATACACATTTTAGTACATTTGATGCAAAATCCGGATATTGGCAATTACGCTTACATGAAAATACGAAACCACTAACCGTTTTTTCATGTCCTCCTCAGAAGCATTATGAATGGAATGTCCTTCCATTCGGTTTAAAACAGGCACCAACAATATATCAGCGATTCATGGACGAAACTTTAAATGGCTTAGATCATATTTGTCTTGCATATATTGATGATATAATTGTTTTTACAAAAGGAAATGAACAAACACACATTGATGCAGTTATCAAGGTTTTACAAAGAATTAAAGAAAAGGGTTTAGTTTTATCAAAAAAGAAATCAAAACTTTTTCAATCCACAGTTGAATATCTCGGTCTAAAAATTGGAGAAAATGGTCAATTATCGTTAACAGACAATATAATGTTTCCTGATAAACTTGAAAATAGAAAACAAATACAACGATTTCTTGGTTGTTTAAATTATATTGCAGAACAAGGATTTTTGAAAAATTTAGCAAAAGAAAGAAAAGTTTGACAAAAGAAAATATAAGAAAAAATACCTTGGTCTTGGACTAATACAGATACTATTTTGGTACAAAGTATAAAACAAAAAATTCAAGTTCTCCACACTTTATATAATGCAAAAATCGACGATTTTCTAATTGTGGAGACAGATGCATGACAAGACACTTGGGCAGGATGCCTAAAAGCAATTATACGTGGAAATATATTATTGGGATTAGATAGTGAGGGAAACCTCATATCTAACTCATCAAAAGTATACAATGATAAAGCATACACTGGTATGAAAATACCATCCGAAGTAAACAATGATAAAGTATACAGTGATATGAAAATGTCACCAAAAGCATACACTGATACGGATGTATCATCTGAAGTATTAAAAACAGATAAATATGAGCAAAAACTATGCAAGTATATATTGGGAACATTTTCCCAAACAGAGCAAAATTACAGCACACATGAACGAGAAACACTAGCATGTCTCAGAACATTGAAAAAATGGAAAGTTGAGCTACTTCAAACCAGATTCGAATTGCGCACAGATTCCAAGTACCTACTCGGCTTTTGGCGATATAAATTACAAGAAGATTATTGTCGAGGACGATTAATTCATTGGCAATTACAATTACATCAATTTCATCCATACCTCAAGTATATCCAATTTGAAAACGTAAGTGCGTAGCTCTGGTACCAATTTGAAAACGTTAGTGCGTAGCTCTGATACCAAATTTACAAAATAAGTGCGTAGCTCTGATACCAATTTGAAAAAGTAAGTGCGTAGCTCTGATACCAAATTTACAGACATGACGGAATTAATAAAAAGATTATGATAGGATTATACCTGAATGATGCGTCGGGATAGATTGACGATGGATTGTTTAGATTATATGAATGATTATATGAATATATGTTTGGATAGGGCTCTGCTATTCAGAAATAGAACGACTATTTCAACAGAGGAAGAACTTTGAGATCAACTCAAGTCTTAAACACTCAAACTTCACTTG